GTGCTGATGTGGGAATGATGGTTGGAATTTTTTCCTTTAGCAACATATTTTCCATGCTGTATCTCAGAAAATCTGTTCTCTGGGCATGGGTTGTATACTTTCTGCCTAGAGGGCTTTCAAAATTAAGTAAAAACAAACAGAAAATGGCATCATCTCAAGGGTTTCTCCCCTCCGCAATGTTTTGCTGTGAAGGAAAAGAAGGCAGCATTTTGTGCCTTGGCACGAAGCAGATGGCACTTCAAAGCTCCACTGCAAGAGTATATACAGACAGGGAGCAGGAGGCGATTTTAGCTCTTACTAGGTCAGAGAAAAAATAAAAATCGGAATTCTCTCAAGCTTCTCTTGGAAGAGCAAAACTAAAGACTGGAGAATATCCAGAATCTCACAGCACTCTTTGAGTCAAGAGAATGGGTTTTAAGACTGCCTGAAGTTTGTAGCTGCTGAATATCACTAAGCAGTCTCTTTTGAAGGGGTAGGGAGGGAGGGATGGAAACTGCTTTTTGAGTTAAGCTGTTCTTATGTTTAGTGTTGCTATTATCTATATTAGGCTAAAAATACAAATGTTTGTGGGATCCCTTGGATGAGTAAGATTCACTCAAGTAAATGAGGGCTGCATACAGTGTGATAAATTCACACGCTTGCTGACAGTTACACGTGAATTCAGGGAAAGCTTTGCTTTTGACTGCAGTAGGGGAAGGATTTTGACACGGTGTTTTTTGAGTCTGCTGGAGCATGATGTCTGAGAGTGGAGCCCACCTCACCTCAGCCTTCCTCAGCAGGCAAGGACTGATAACCAATTACAGTCACAGTCAGGGCTGACTTTTTTGCGTAATCAATCTCAATATGTACATGTATACAGATGGAGAAATTGTTATTTCCATTTTATTATTGCTTAATGTTATAAACAATACGTTAATGTTAATGTTGAAATGCTATATATGCTCACATTTGTATATACATATATATATCTATATATCATATATATTACAGACATATGTTGAGATATGTATTCACAGATATATATACACACACACATTATTATATACACATATGACAGAAAAGATTTGTAGTAATAAGATCAGCTGGTCGCTCAGCTTAAGGTTGTCCACATGATGGTGGTACAGCTAACAGTATTTATCATACATTTGTTCCAGGATAGTACTAGTCGTCTGCTTGCTGAGTGAGGAATAGGTAATAACTTGGAAGATCAGTGATTGCAAAAACAATGATCAGACAAAGGTGTGCTTATGGGAGAAGCAAATGGGTAGCGTATTGTGGCAAGTTCTACTAGAAGAAGAAAGGAGAGAGGTACGTCTGGAAACCAAAGATAAGAAGTTTAAACTTCTTCAAGTGAAGGAGAAAGATCCAGATGATGAAGTCATGACAGAGGTGGTGAGAGGAGGGAGCATGCCGGGTGGGACAATGGTGGAAGCACCAAACTACAGTCCTCTCCCTGTACTGAACTCAGGAGACTGAACTGTTTCTAAGGTGACAAATAGTGATACCCATCCCAGGTGGTTCAGGTAGATGATAACTGTTTCTACAGTTACCTATGCCATTAGCTCAGCAGCGGATGGCCGATGCTCATAGCTTCACTTCTGTTGGTTAGATATTTTAAACCATAAGTTGGCAATTCAGCTAGAATTCGTATGCTTTGGGTTGGTTGGTCGTTTGTTTGTTTGTTTTATCACAATTTTAATGTGAGAAATTACACCTGAAAAGGTACCTCAAGTTAAACACGTAACAAATGTCAGCCTGTTTGATAATATGACTTAATCTTTCTATGCCATAAGTTGCCTATCTATACAGTCACAACGACATCTTTGCGTATCTCAACATGGGCGTCAAGGAGAAAAACATGTTGTCTCTGGTCCACTCAGTTGCTGCGGTGACGTTTGGGAAAACTTTCTGTTCAAATGAAGGTTTAGGTTGTTCCTCAGATGAGGTCTGGGCCCCAGGTTGAAAGGTAAGGTTAAAAATTTAGGCACAGAAACTGTTCATTGAACACAGTGCAGTCTGTATCCTAAACGAGGCAGGGATGGCAAATGTAAAATATGTAACAAGCAAATAAAAGCTGTACCATCTGCACACCCATCAACCTTCATTCAAACATTTCCTGACTTCTGATTGCTTGACTTTGTAATTCTCTTAAAATAGGAAAGTTTACTGAACCATAACGGTAGTCAAATGTGATTAGCTCAACTGAGTAGTTTGAGACCCTTAAAGCTCAGTGCAACTGGGCTGTGATAATCAAAATACTGTGTAAAAGTTAAATGTATTGCATAGTCCAAAGTCTGTAATAAGCAATAAATTGTGATGAGTCCACCCTGGGTAAATAGCAGCCAGTATAGGTTCATAAGTAGACAGGCTACTCATTCCTGTTATACAAGGGGACGTATTTTTGGTCACTTTAATTTAAATTAAAATTCTTCCTTTTTCTTTGTAGGAATTATAATTTTGAGACTCATACTGAATACTAGCATGAGTTCTAATGTTCTTTCCATGGGCCAAATAATATTTTAAATAAATTATCTTTTCAAGCTGAATTAACTGAGCTTAATCAGTTTAAATAAAAACACCACTTATGGCTAGCATTTTAGATGATGAAGGATTGGGGCTTAAGCTTCTTATCTGTTCATAAATTTTCTAATCTGTGAAATGGAGATAGTTATGTCTAAGGGATGTTATGAAACCTGTGTAATGTTAATAAAATGCTTTGAGGTCTTCCAGTAAAAGTGTAAGTAGTTAATGTCTTTTAGTGCCAATTGACGTTTTCCATGATAATTAATTTGATACAGTTGTTAATTCAGTGTTATAGGACTGAAAAAATTTATCACCCTGAAAACTAGAGAGAGACATTGATGGGGGGTCTGAGTCAATGTTCTTGAACTTGATGGAAAGAGCATCATTGTTTTCAAGTGGTATTGGATTAAGTCCCACAAATAAATATATGAGAGATCATCTCATTTCACTGTCCCCAAGAAAACAGATGTAAAAAGGAAGCAGAGAGGAAAAATAGTAGGAAGTAAATTATACTTGTAAAGCTGAAATAATGATAAGAGAATACATATGTTCACCTGCATGAAAAACTCTTTCCAAGAATAGGGCACTCTCCGGTGCTTTGTTTGCCATGCCAATAACATGTGACACACAGTTGCAAGACATATACCTTAAAAAGTAATGGGGAAACGTTGGAAGAGCTCCTGCATAATTTAGGATGGGGACCCAAGGCAGTCTAACCTGATCTGAGTTCAGGCTACCACACTCTCCCCAAGGAGGCTGGCTTACACAGAGAGTCTGCAGCCACACTCACGGGCTCCTTTGTTTTGTCAAATGTGATTTGAATGCCATGAAGGTTTGACCTTTAACGGACAGATCCCACGAAGTACCTGAGTAGCTAAGCACAGACCTAGTGCCAACTTGCATGTTCTTGTGCCAGTACTGTTTGCACTCGCGAGCTGTTGATCTCACAGGCATGGGTAGCTTGAGCTGGGCTGGTCAAAACGGTTACTGCCCCCAGTTCTTCTGTCCAGATTTGGTGCTTTTTTGGCAGGGAAATGCATCCCATGTGGAGCATTTGCTGAATTGCCACACTTTGCAGTGTGAGAAATAAACCCAGTGCTGTAAATTTGAGAAGCGCAGAATCTGCTTCATCTTCTGTTCAGCCGCCCCCTTCCCTGGTGGAGAAGGGGAGTGGGAAGCTGTGCTCCGTGATGCCTTCAGGCATCCGAGCTCAGCCAGTCTGGTTGCAAGTCAGCAGCTGGGATTACCTGCTGCGGGGAGAGATGTTTATCAGCTGCTACGTGTAGAGGGTAAATTTCTCAGAGGCGCTAAACTGCCTCTCTCCATGCCTTCACAGGAGCCGACACTTCACCGTATGGCTGTTCATGCCAACTGGGCTGGCGCAAGTGAGATTGACAATACTTCTTGCAGTATTTAATCTTCATACAGCAATTAGACTGGCCCTAGAGAGTAATTGGATTACCGGGGTATTTGAATTAATTGATGAGATAAATAGCCCTATCCCGTAGCATTAATAGGATGAAGTCCAGCACGGCTGAAGCTTTGCCACATGCCCTCAGCTTGAGCTCCAGTCGTCACTTGGGTTTTGATGTCCGTATGTAAACAGAATCAGGATGGGAGATTAACTTTTCCTAACAGTGAAGACAGGATTTTACAAGTGATGCTCACGTTTTATGGACTGTGCACCATGGTTCCATGGATCATCACAGCGGCCTCCCAGATCACTGACCAAAACTGTACTGATTTGGCGGTGGGGTGCAGTGGGGAGTTACTCTGTTTTGCCATCTGTAAATGCTTTTCCCTATAAAACTATTTAGCATTTTTCCCACAGGAAATAAACATAATAATTAAAATGCTTCACGTCACAGTCTTTTTTTGTGTATTGTATCCTTCTTTTTTTTAACCAAAAAACAGGATGCTGCATTTTTTTCCATGAAAGCCAACCAGCCTGGATGAGGATGTTATTCCCTTTTAGAACAGAAATTTCTAGCTTCTGTTTAAGGTTTTTTTTTTTCATTTAAAACAGTTTGCATGTCATAAAGGCTGCCCGGTGAGTTGCTTGCTCTGAGCAGGATTTGTCTCTCCCAACTCAAAACATCTACAAAACAGTTGGAGATATCTCCTGCTGAGCTAGTCACCCCAGTCAGTGGTAAAGAGGTGCTTTTACATATTAAATGCCTATGCTAGGATGAATTCAGTTTCACTCTGGAAGTACCTTTTTCCGTTGACTATAAAGGAAGCCTCACGGAGCCTCGCGCAGCTGAAGGCATTGGGTCAGATGAATCCCCACTTCTGTGCCTGAAATTGTGGGAGAATATTTTCAGAGAGCGTCCATGAAAACCCAGACTACTTCTCCTGCAGAATCAGAGGAAACAACATTTCTCAGGGTTTCTTTAAAATAAAAATCTTTTTCTACATTTTCCACAAGTATCAGCAGTATGAGAATAAATCTATTCTTAACTGTGCTTTTTCTTTAGTGTTGGAAAGGAAGATTTCGACAAGACAAAGCAGAGAGGAGCTGATAAGAAGGGGAGTGCTGAAGGAAATGCCCGAGCAAGGTGATAACACGTTACCTAGAATTTAGCTCCTAAGTGCTAAACATGGATGATAAAGCCACTATTGCATTGTTTCCATGTAGTATAAATAGGTATGAGGAGACAAAGCTGAGGAGGGTGAGAGGTAATTTGGGCCAGCTGACAAAAAACTCAAGTTGGAGTTGAGCAATTTGTGTTCTGTAACTGCTCCTGCCTTAGGTACACCATCTGACTTCTGGTCATATCCTTAAGTATTTTGATGCTCTCTGTAAATAATGTGACTCCTGTGGTTCCTACTTACTGTTTGCCAGAATTTTTTAAAGTTAGTGATTAACCTGTTTTTTGAGTCAAGGTCTTCTTTCTAAGGCAACTGGAGTATAATATGAGAAATTTTGGCTGAAAAATTAGAGGCTTTGGGACCCTCAAGCAAATCAGTAGCATCCATTTCAGGTATCAAAAAGTACCAGTGCTGGGATTTTACAGATCCCACCACTATCACACACACTACATTCACAAATGGCACAAACATAAAACTGTGGGGAAGACACCACTTGTTTCAAAATGCTGTAAGGTTTAGTAACTGGTATTAACCAGAATTTGTGTTTCAAAAAGCATAAGTAAACCATGGTTATCACCTCTGTGCTACATCTGATCTATGTTTCTAGTGGTATTCTTTCTAATATTCTTGATCCTCTATAAATCTAGATCAAATAAAAGTCAAGTGAGTAAAATAATTTTCTGTAGCTTAAAATTAAACCATTTGTCATTTTATCAAGGAGTCTAAGATCTCCATGATTTCAAAAAAATATTTTTCTCCTAGAAATTGTGTTACTCTGCCTGAGCTGAAGAATCATGAAAGTATCAATGTGTATGGTTAGTGTCGTACACATTGATACTTAAAAGTAAAGGCCTTGTTTGTTGACATGTGACGTCACTTGTCTTTACAGTGTTTTGCTAATTACCAGGCTATGGCATTCAGCATAGCTGGCTTCTGAATTTGTCTCTGCCACTGTCTTTGACTTAAAACAAGGAATACAAATTCTCCATACCTCAGTTTGTCCCTCTGTGAATTTGTTATATTTTTTTTGCTACATTCTTCACTGGGGAGCTGTGTGACTTTGTCCATTGGTGGTTGTAAATTGCATTTAGACTGCTGGGACAGTTAATGAAATGTGTTAACATTTCAGGTTGGTTACAAACAGTCTGAACATAAATACTGTCATTTGTGCTAAAAGTGTGTATGCTTTGGTCATGAGTGTCCTTGACCCTCTATTCCACTCTTAAAAGGGGATGGGACTTTGGATCCCTTACAGAGATTGAGCAAAGTGAGAAAAGGATGTAAAAATAAACAATTTGCTTCCCTTCCTCCCATCTTAAGAAGACCATCAATCCAGTCCGTGTTGCCTTCATCATGTTGTGCTTCCTGTCTGATGAAAATTACAGTTTTTAAGGAGCAGTTTGAAAGAATACAGGATTGGTTTGAAGGTGCTAAAAAGAGAGACAGAAAAGACGGCGATGGAGCAGTGTGAAGGTGGTTAGAAGGAATGACTACAGAGATGAAAGCTAGATGAGGAAATTACGTGGATTCTCGAAATCTGAGAGGTAAGAAATGCGAAGACGTGACTGTTTCGCATGTGATGGAGAAGAAAGAAGTGGAAATTGACAAGTGCCACTTGGAGGCAGGAGGTGTTTGCAGAACCATGACATGGCTAAGAGGTGGGAATGCCACACATGGAAGCAGAGAGGAAAGAACGGAATTCTGAACACCTGGAAGAAAGGAGCTGAAGAAACTGAATGTTGCGGTAAGGTAAGAAGGAAGTCTTGTGCAACTGTCAGCTATAGTAAATGAGACAGGGTTAAGGCAGAACTTAGTTTTTACACATCAAGTTTAGGTTAGTGTGTGGGTGAGAATGAAACCATCTGCTAACCCATGGAGCAGCCCAAAGTGGTAAGAGAGAGGCTGCATAATTGTGTTGAAACCAGGGAACTGCCAAACATCCAGATCTGATAGCACGCAGCAAGGAAGAGGAGGAGAAGAGAGTGGAATTACCGCAGTTAATGAAGATACAATGGGAGGAACCAGAAGAGATGCCAGGTAGATTTGCATAATTTTTGGATGGACAGCAAGAGAATCCTGCAGAAGGAGAGCAATCATCTATGTGAACTGCAGGTGGGGTGTGAGCAACATAAGGATAAGAAGCCTTAGAAATGACCAGAGAAGATCGGCACCAATTTTAAAATGCATGGAACAGAGAACAAAAACTGGTAAATAAGGGAAGAGAGGAAGCAGTGAGCCAGCAAGAGTATGTAGCATTTTTCAGGAATATAGAGACAAATAGGGAAGAAAAAAAGTTTTTTTCAGGATTTAAAAAAAAATATCATAGCTGAGGTAGTCTGCGTAAGTAAGTAAAATATCATCAGAGCTGGGAAAGAATTTGACTTGCAGAATTTAATAATGGTATGATACATGATACAGGAAGACCTCGCCTTGGTTCTTCAGACTGTATAATGACTTTGTAACATATTTTATTCATTAACTGGGCACACATATTCTGAGAACTTCTGTCTGAATTCCTGGCTGATTTACCTTACTGTGATGCGCCACAGTAGTTCTGCAGCTCTGCTCCCTAATTGTCCAAAGTTGGGGCCTGTTGGAACACATTGCAGGTCCGTTGTGGTCCATGCACACATTTCTTTGCTGTGTAAACCAAGATGCAAGGAGGAAGAGAATGGGAGGCTAATGTGTACAGACACGAAGCTGGACCTGAAAACCCACATGCACTTCCAGGCTGACTACTGCAGAGGTATCCACCCAAAGAACATGGAAGCCTATAGAGTTCCTTTACAATGTTAACTTTTCAGAGCAGATCTGCAGCCTGATGTTTCACATTTCAGTAAGTCTTTCTGCTTTGCTCCATGGAGACTTGAAAGCAGAGGGATGCTGTGTGTTTTCAATGGGTGCTGAGGAAGCAGTTAAACTAGACAATAGCTTTTTAATTTTCATTTCAGATGGTGATGTAACAGTAAATTTTGAAACTTCAAATGGACACACCATAGCCATCAGTGAAGAAACCATACAGGAAGAAAATATGGTAAAAGCCAGTGGAGATAATGGTACTTCATCAGACAAAGCATCATCACTGGAAGGAAAACAAGAAGATCAAAAAGGTAAATGAACATATTCTTCACAAATTGTTTTTCACCTACTTAAAATATTAACATGTTCTTCCATTAGCACCAATACATGCTGTGAGTTCTGTTCTGCCACAAGGATGTCCGCAGAACCTGCCGGGAAGATAAGACTTGTGAAACACCAGTATTTCATCACTGGTAGGCATGCCTTTTACTGTGGATATAATAAGGTCATAGAGAGAAGCATGGGCTAAGCATGAAAACGCGTGCAGGGATGTTCGATTTCTAAATTCAGCGTGAGCCTTTCCTTGCAGCCGTGGGCAAGCTTTGGTTTCACGTTTTCCTCTTGTGAAAAAAGACACTAAGTGCTTATGCATCACCTTGCAATATCATTGTAGAAGCGGCTTATGGGTTGAAAGTTCAAAAGTGTTTAAGCCACTTAAAAACCACATACCATTTTGAAAGTAACTTCAGCAACTCATTCCTATTGGTTTTCATTAAATCTTAAACACTTGCAGTCCAGCTCTTCAGAAATATTCAAGGGACTGTATCACTACCGCAAACTGAACCTAGGTAATTTATGGAAAATGTACTTTATGGCTGTGGGGTTTTCTATAGATGAATTGCAGTAAATACTGCTAAATATTTAGCAGTCCCAAAGTTCATATTAATTTTGTTACCTTTACTAGTAACAAGAGCTTGACTGAAAAGAAAGAAGTAAAGATTAATGCAGAATCACAGGATTTGGACCAGTTTTATTTTTTCCTCTAGCCTCTTGAATAATGCACCACTTCTTTTCCCTGTCAAAAAGTGTTCCAAATACTATTCCATTTATTGGATTTTCCTAGAGGAAAGAGCAAGGATACAAAAGATCAAGAACTTCATGGCTGGCTGTTAGACTGAGCAGTCCAGTGTCTTCTAGTAACTTCTACCTAGTGATGAATGAGCCTCTGGAGGTTGAGAGGGTCAGTTTGGCTAATGCAGAAATTTGAATTCTTCTCTGAGCTATGTAAATCACTTGACTATGTAAAAAGTGGCTGGATGTCCAAGGAGAACTGCCTTTCTTATGAGATTTCTAGGACTTCCTGTCTCCCAACAAGACAGAAATGCAAGATTAGCTTTTTTCATGACATTTAAATACGTCTATCTTTTGGTGCCAACTAGAACCATATGTGTATTGGGTCAGGGGAAAAGAGTTACAAAAGCCATGGAAAACTCCTTTAAAATGGTTCAGGTTAACTTTGAGGTTAGATCAGACCACTTATTATTTTATGCATCCCTAAATACAGTCTTTTGGAACTGTCAGGTCTTAGAATTTGTCCTGAGGTACAGCATTTTTTTAGAAATACACATTTCTAACTATGTTGAAATCACCTCTATCTGACTTTGCAGAATGTAGAACTCCAGTGAAGCAGGAAAGGTTCAATACCTATTTCAAACACATTATTACACTCTGCACTCCATATATATTGTGTTGACCTTACAGGGAGAAATTAAAAAATGATTGCTGTACAGGAGTAGACTCAGTACAGAAGAATATATAGCTATCATTCCAGTCCCTTTCAGAAAATGAAGTATGTTTGGAGAAGGGAGAATGAAAACAAAAAATGAGCAAACTTGGTATTCTAGGCTTCAGAGAATGTCAATATGATCATATAGAAGATGCAAAACACTTCAAGTATACTTTCCTCTCATACCTAAACATAAAGTTCTTCTACACATAAATGTCTTGAGTCCCCTGAAAAGGAACAAGCTAGATTTATTGCAGAGGAATAGTCCGCCCAAAAAAGGTGTTAAGGATCAATTCCACACATCAGCAATGGTGTTACACAGTGCAAATCCAGTACAACTCACTGGATAGGCATTGTGCATACACTTCAGTTATTCTTTACTTTATAGCACATTAAGCAAGAAGGTGAGCCAGTCTGTTGAACTCAGTGGAAGAGTAAGGCCCACTGCATCTCACAGGTGCATCTCACCTGACAGATTAATCCTCGGTGATTTTTTATGGCAGATGCAGTAGGTATGCATTACACTCACACCCGCTGGCAGAGCAAGGAATTAACAGCCACAGAGTGGAGATTTGCTAACGCTCACAGAGCATCAAAATAAGAGCTGAAGCAGGAATACCTAGCTCACTGTCTTCTGCTCAGACTACAAAACATGCTGGTTTATCAGATCACAACTGTCAGTCATGAGAACTGAGATAGGTGGAGTGAATACTAGCTGGACAATCAGGAGTAACGGATGCAAGGAGTTCATCTTCAGTGGGCCTAATGTTAGGCTTTTTAGAGTCATGAACCCTTATGTGTAAATCTTGAAGGAAGTTATATACACTTTCCGTGTTTATAAGACCTGAAGACAGGATTAATTCCTGCTCTTTAGTAGCACAGTGTGCTGCAGTTCCAATTCCAGCTGAATCAAAATGTTCCAAAAAATACATCTCAGCCCCTGAAAGTTATGAGGTTATTTTAAAATGTTTTTGTGAAATGGTGGTGGTCTTTACTTGCTGCTCTCTTGTTCATGTGGGTCTTGAAAATGGCCTTCTCATATAAATATGATGCCTGCTGGAGCTGGAAGCTTAAAAAGAACAAGTGATACAGGCACGTTGTGATAATACAGTGAGAGTTGGCAGCAATGTGTTTTAGAATGTGGAATATGGAATATGTTAGGAGTTCAAAGAAGTTAAAGGAAAAAAGTTGTTTCATCATGAGCCACAGAAGTACAGTATCAACGGGGCAAACAATAGGCTCAGCCATACAATGTAAAAATGAGTTAAGCAGAAGCGAGTGAAGAAGGCGACCCCTGAAAGCTGTTCCCTGTGCTGCCAGGCAGTTCCATAAACTGGGCACCCATCTGCTGCCTGCCAGCTCACAGGTGCCTTTCATATTTGGTGAAAAAAATTCCCTTCGGCAATTTAAAAGTGTAACTGTTACTGTTTATATAATGATGAGATGTCAGTCATGCAAGTGGGGTGTTTAAAAGGAAATTTCTCCTTTATGGGAGGATGATGAGAAGCTGGTGACAGTTTTACATAAAACAGGTAATTGATGGATAAAGCTTTGCAGATGAGAAATCAGAGAAATCTTTTTCCTAGATCATTTATTCACATCATGTTTGTACTGGGTTGAGTACTGAATTCTTTTGGTTTGCTTTGTTTTGACTAAGAAAAGTCACTAGCATCTTCTGCAGGAAAAAAAGAGCTAAGCCGTAGCCATTCTCTGTGCGCGCCCTGGAAGGGATACAGAGCAGCAAGTAGACAGGCAGCAGCAGCCCCTGCAGACCCCAGCGCTCCAGGTTCCAGGTGGCGTGTGAGTATCGCAAAGGGGATGCAAGGAGTCTCTCTGTCTCCTGCCCCCTACAGCAGTGTTGGAGAAGACCAAAAGCCACATCCATAGAATAGGTGTCAAAATTGTCACTGTTTGCCTCCCTAGGTATAGGAACGTAGCATGCTGCCGCAGCATGCATGCTGCACGTTGTAAAACCTCCTGGGACCATGTCAGAGCTGCTTTTCTCCTTTCCACCCTCCCAGGGTGTCTCTGTCGTACAAATGTACCAGAGAACCCTGAGTTTGTATCTGAGTTCAGTTTGTAAACTTAGGTCTTACTCATTTTTATCACAACAAGCTAAATATTTTCATGATTCTGGTAGATACTTCCACATTTCATTGTTAGCTTGGGCTTGAAGAAGTGAAAGGCTCAGTAACCATTAGCAAGATACTGCCTGGAAAAAAGTAATAGCAAGTTTCATTTTGCATACTATCAGTCAGGTGTGTTCGATGCTGCTTTGATAAATAATTGCATTGCAGAAAGCCAGAGTTTTGTGCGGGTGCTGTGGGTATTGTGAGTGACATAGAGCATAAGCTTCTGAAATGTTCCTATGCCATTTATAGCAGACTGATCCTCCCAGGTTTTCTCATGTCCTTCAGTGAAAGGAAACAGTTTGTAGTCTTGTTTCCAAATGAATTCATGGCATACATACGCATAATGTTTTTCCCCACAGGATAACTAATATGAGAGCTGGCAAAGGTTCCAGGTCTTAGTATGTTGGGTTCAGAGTTTCTTTCCTCTATACTTTGTCTGCTCCCTCTTAAATCTGCCATTAAATTTAATCTTATCTTTTTTCATGGGTAACCAAAAAAAAGGTTAGAGGCACAAGCTCTTGTCTTATGAGCATGCATTGTTGCTGACCAATGCTTTAGTTTGCCTGCCAAGGAATGTTCTTCAAAGTCAAATTTTCTAGATTCCTTTTCTCAGAGGTCTTTGCTTTATTTCCGCAAAGTGGAACAAAACCTGTTGAATTTAAGATAGTAACCCTCATCTTCCAGGGTCTCAGAGAAGAGCCTGCTTTCTCTCAGAAGACTAATCCTGCAAACCACTCACTGTGAGAGACAAGGCAGACTTTCTTCCCTCTTACGTGCCTAACTGGCTTCCTACACTACTGAGCTCTGTAGATCATCGATATGAGCACCATACATAAAACATGGGTTTGGTTTTTTTTTTTCCTGACTCCTAAAGAATCTCTCACTCCAACTGAGTTATTGGCTGGCTAAAACCAGTTCTTCTAAGAATAGTATAACTTCGATTCATCACCTGAACTATGTAACTGAGGCTGAATCCAGATCTTCTTAAATGGAAAGCTACTCTAGATAAAGCTGTGTTTGGGCAGAGCCTGTCCACTAAGTCAGCCAGGCTGGCTCGTGACAGTAGGCTGATGTGAGAGGCACGGGCTTTCACCTGCCAAAGTTGAGTGGGTAAAGCTGCTAAATTTTTTTTTCTTTTATAGGGAAGGTATCCTAATGTGGCTCCAGAAATAAGACTGTAGACATGATTTTAACGAACTAACCACTGAATTATTTGAGCATATCTATACAGAAAGTGTAAGGGAACGTAGAAGCCTATGTGCCTTTCACTTTCCAAGTCTCCCATAGACCAAGAAATGGTAAAAGTATGCAGCAGACAGTGAAAATGTTTTAGGTATTCTCTCTTGATTTAACAGCTTACTTTTTATGCAAAGGTTGGACAGTTAGCAATTTA